TTCCGTGTTTAACACTGCTTTGTCGAAGAAGAAAAGCAGAAGTTTTAAAACGATGATTGATCTAGTCCCACAATCCCATCCCCACCAAAACAACGAATACTTTAGGACCTGTTTTGTTACGAGGGTTTGGGTGGGTATATACAGATGGGTTTAACAAAAATAGTCCAATGGCTTATCCCATGTTTGGATGCAGGCTTAAGGCCCAGTATTTTAAATCACGGCCCGTAACCCCACAGACCCCTAAAACCCATGAACATGGGTTTCACCAAACCCAGGGGGGAGGTGGGTTTAAAACCAGTCCAACCCGCATATGATGGTTAAAAGACATTTATATCCCTAATAAAATCTCATATTTACCCAAAGGATCTTGGGAGCCAGGCGCTCGACCTCCAACACCATCCATCGGCGACTCTGGACAGAAGACTGGAAAAGACGAAGCCGCCTGCTGTGATTCTCTGCGTTTGGATAGAAAGAAGTGGCTATGGATGCAAGATTCGTCGCTCCTATCAACCCACTCGACTGTGTATGAAGTGGAATGGGCTCCAGTTCATGGCTATATAAAACCCTAGCATCATCTTCAACAGCCCAACCAGATCTTGGCGAGGTAAGGAACAGCTATCCATTTTTGCCTTCAATTTGCTAGATTTGGTTTGAGGATTAAAAACTTCAACTCAAATATAAAAATTTGGGTTGAACTCGAGTTAGGTTCGGGTTAACCCGCTCAACAGCCCCAAGTAAATTCCACTACACGACGCCACTAACTTGCCATAACCCGTGAGACCGCCTCATTTACTGGCCATTCCGGTTCCTTCATCTCTTTACCCGAAATCTCAGTATATAAAAGCCTTCTCTCTCTCCCTCTCTGTCTCTCTCTCTCTCTCCAATTCCCTTGACAGTTATCTTCGAGCAATCTCACCGTGACCTTGGGTATCGTCTCCGATCTCTCTGTCTCATAATTTCTGTAAGTGTTTGATAATTTCCAATTTTTTAGCAATTTAATTTTGATGAACTGAATGATCTGATTCTTAAGCTTTTGACCTTAATCGGTGCTTAGTTTATTTCAATTGATTCGGTATGATTTAGGTTTCTTGGAACTCTATGTTTATAAATACGTCTATTTGTATGTGTATGTGTTGCTGTAGGATTTTTACTTTTTAGGGTCTGTGTGTTTTGTTTGAAATTGATTCGTATGTATGATGTTTATGTGATATTGGTGTATCGTTTGTGTTTGTTTGTTGTAGGTTTTGGTAAAATTTAATCATTTTATTTTGAAGTGACTTTTAGTTTTTGGAAATGGTTTGGAGAACTATTGGTCTGCTTTTCGAAGTGTCTGGACCAGGGAGAGATGATCGTTTGATGTAGTTGATGTTTCTTTGGGTTCTTAGCAAATAGATAAAAAGTAGGATCGAGATTCTGGATTTTATGTTTTCTGTTTTATTGGTTGTAGGAAGTGGAAAACACTGCGTAGTTTGTGCTCATTTGAGCGGAAATTTTTGTTTACCAAGGTTCATGGAACTCTGAAAAGATTTTACGGTTTTCTTGGTAGATGGATTCTTCGAGATATCTTTGTGATACATATTGTTTTTGTTTGTCGGATTTGGAAACTATTAAATTTTAATTCATTGATTGGTATAGTTTTTTTGTAAGGGTTGCAATTTCGTTGTTGGCCCATGGATGAAAATATTGATTTCTTTGTAATATGTAGCATTAGTATATGGCTTGAACAAGAATTCTTATTTACTTGGATTTATGTCATGTAAGGGTTTTAAATTAAAGCAATCAATTGGATGCATACTGTCACAGGAAGAAGATTTATCTTATACTTTTTAGGTTCATATATTTCAATTGAATAATACGAAACAGTTCATGGAAAAGTTTAACTGGATATCATATTTCATCTGTGGCTCATTTTGCTATGTGCATATGTTAACGAGTGGTGTGGTGGAAGTTTATCTTTTGTTAGCCACTTATCTATGATTTCGTATTCAATATTTATTTTGTTTTTCCTTAAGAAATTTGTCCCCTGGAAGTGGAAGCAGTTGGTATAATTCAGGCAGATCATTGGACAATGTTCAGAAATTTTGTTTATAAAATTTGTTCATTTGTAGAACTAGTGAGATTCATGCTGCTTATTCTTGTGCATTATGTTTTCGGAGAATTGCGTTATTTATACCTAGTTTTGCTCAAAAGCGTTTAATGTTTGCTTCTTTGACACTTTTTCCTTAATTTTTGTGTTTCCTTGGGAATGTGGAATCTGATAAAGTTTGAACTGGAAGACCGAAGATGGCAGATAATGAAGATAGAGAGGAAATTACTTCCCGTGGAAACGAGTGGGAAGTTGTATCACTCACAGCATCAACATATGCTGCTGCTCCTGGTCCAAAACAGAATGACGATGAAAAGGATACTGCTGTTGGAGAGAATGAATCAGAAACTTCTCATGCTATGGTTATGTCTGGCCATTTTATCTTTCCACCACGTCAGCGTGAAGGTTTGCCATTGGAACCTGAAAATACTGAGGTTCATAGGGAACAGGAGTTGAAGATCCTGTTTCTGAAATGATCGCAGAGGAAGGGGGTATTTCAAATACAAAGGAAGAAGAAAATTGGAATTTTAAAGGATTGGCCGAGTCAGATGATTTTTCTGGAATTCAGTTTTTTGATGAAAAGGGTACTAAGTTATTCCATTAGTGGTACTGAATTTGAAGAAGGCACAACTTTAGAGGGATTAAATTTGGTGGAAAAAGAGCAGCAGAGCATTTACAGTGCTGCCACGTTTAGTTCCTTCCACAGTGAAGCAGCCATTGGTGAATCGACCATGGTTGAGGAGAACGTTGGAATTGCGAACCAATGGACTCTTCAGACTCTGACGTAGATTCAGACATCTCACATTTTCCGAAGAATAGTGACGAAGATAAATATGATGGATCTGACCTACCTTGCAAAGCTTGGTGGAAGAGGCAAGCTTCTTCTTTATATGCTCATGCTAAAGAGGCAAACACATTTTGGTCAATTTTCGTTGCGGCAGCTGTGATGGGCCTTGGGGCGTAGTTCTTGGGCAGCAATGGCAGCAGGAAGATGGCAGATTTTGCAACTGAAGTGGCAGTTCCGCATCAATGAAGAGGTATGGTGTTGCTAATGGTGTAGAAAAAAATGAATTATTTCAGTGCTAGTATATTTTAATGGCTCTTTATGCATACTACTTTAGTCATCTACGATGTACAGATTTTATGTGCGTCCTTTAGCACCAACAAAGTGCGGGCACTGACAAAGTTAAGGGGCTGTAATAAGGCAAACTCTGACAAGGTTTGCCATATTGCCTGGACTGTAAGTTCATGGGTTGTCCGGAACTGTGGCAATAACCATGGAAAATAACAAGACTGGTTTGGGGGATTTGGGTTATAAGGATTGAATCGAACCAGAGTGATTAAGCCATGTTAATATAGAGTAGTAAAAGAGTAATTTGCAGATCTGGACTCAAAGTATAAAATTCTAACTGCTATCAGAAGAAGAAGAGCATTCTTGATCCAAAATCCCTTAATTGCCTTTTCTGTGGTCCTATGCTCCACATGAGATGCTCTTTCAAGTAGTCATTATTGTAGGTATATGAACTTAGAGAATTGTATTTAAGTTTTTATTACTTTCTTTGTGTGCCTTTCGTGAGCTAGTTTCATAAGGTTTTTGTTCTTCAACTTGGGGAGATACTTATTTATTTTAATTTAGTGATCTACAGATTCTTTGTGAATCCTTATTTTTATAATGCTCCCCATACTAAACAACTAGCAATTATTGGACGTTTGATTGGACATTTGGGTATTTTACGGTTAGCAAGAATTTTTTGGATTACGCAAGGTGTACTTTCATCTTTTGATCTAGCCTATTTGTGTTCCCTAGCATATATAAACATTAGGCTTGGATATGGGTGTCATTATGGAACTGAAGGTAGTTCAGGCTTTTTGTAGACAATCATTCATACCTTTCTTATCTCGTGTAGGAGGGTTAAATGTGATGTCACAATGTTGTGAGAGCTTAGAGGGACATAGAAAAGGCCTGATGGTTTTTATGCTTGCTCTTGTAGCATAATTTCTTCCACGCAATGATTGGGACAAATAATGCTCTTCTACTTGATTGGAATTTTTTTCCATATAGGTCGATTGGAAACTGAAGTTGGAAATAACATAGTAGACGTGTTTTGGTTTGAAGACGTTCATCCTTGATGTAAGCAGCCTGGTCTGATGATTTGTTTGTGATGTACAAACCCCTATTGTTGTTTGGAATAATTTGTGTCAGGTCTTGATTGGTCTTTATTATTTGAATGCCAATATGCGTAGTTAGGGATATGCTATTTACCTTGAAGAGATCTAAAGATGAATTCAAACACAGTTTTAGTAGCTCACTAAAAAAGCTCATTGAACATGACACGTCTCCATCTCTCTATCTATACATATACCTATCTTCTTTTTTTTGGTAAATGATATATCTGTCTTCATTAAAGCACAAAGATGTTAAGGATACCTGTGTGGCCATATTCCTGCTTTGGGGGGAACTGTTTGGAAATTCACTGGACTTCTGGACTCTGGAGTAATAAATTTGGGTGATAAAGGGACATTGTGAAAGTAGCACCAACTAAACCAAATCAAGCTTTATGTCCCAGTCATTTGGGGTCGGCACATTGGGAGAGTAGTGCTTTCAATTTTATCTTACAATGTGAATAAATGTATTCATGCAATTTCACTGAATGCCCATAATTCCCATTTTGTGTAGAACTATAGGATATTCATTGGACTTGCAGAATGATTCATTGGGTGAGAAATGGCAACCATCAATGAGATTGTGAAAGTAGTGTTTTGAGTCTAATCCATACATACCGGAATTGTAGATACCCCTAGCGTCCTACAAATTGGGGTCACACCAACCAAAGAGAGTGGGTTTGCGATCCAAACCCAATTTATAATCCAAACAGTAAATTGACTCGTGATCTAAGTAATTCCACATCATAACTTCAACCCCAGATCGTAACCTTAACTTGTTATTTTTTCATTTTGATGTTCGGTAAACTTAATTTTTGATTAGTTAGGATTTGATTTTTTTTTTCATAATACAAATATGCTAAATTTAACTTTATTATTTACAACCACTTACAGGTACATTATTTTGAAATATGATTTGTTTTGGAACTTTTATCAGAAATATAAACTAAATATTAGTTAGCTATGTGTATGTGGACGTATAATTCAATATAAATGTTACAAAACGAATCACAACCAAAATAGCGTACCAAGTGAATCTATCCCTATTGTACAATATAGTGGAAGAAGTATCGTATAACTTATCCGTATCTATACCATGTACCATAGCAAACCACGATCTAAGTAACTGGTAACAGTGTTCTAATTTAATAACGTACTAAGAAAATGGATGTTATTTTATTCTTGGTGGCCACTAGAGTTTCGTATTATATTTGCTAAAATTCATTGTCTAAGCAAAGACCAAAAGGTGTGTTGATGTCAAAATAAAATTCATAGACATGCCTTCTGAACATGACCTATCTGAGGTGGGAGACTCTTTGAGTTAGGATCATGCATTCCTGAAAATGTACGTATGCTATAAAGTTGTTCTTAAAATGGATCAGTAACAAACCAGGGCTTGCTGTGGTGTGTTCAAGGACTACTTTCAGTTCTAGTTCTGTTTTTGCATTCCATGTTGTATAAAAACCATGGCAGCTGGAAACCTTTCCAGGTAAGGTAAGCATCTATAATAGTTTCTATGATAGCCGTGGCTCAACCTAAGCCAGCTTATATTTTGTTATAGGCATGGTTATTATTTGTTCAACTGTATGTCTAATTTGTATATTTAGACACTTGCATTTGATGCTATTTCTTTATCATATATACAGAGGATGGGTAAGATGCTGGGTCCCATATCGCGATTTAAAGATGTTATTGTGGGTGGCCACCGACGGGGTGCCTCTGTTAGTGGCAGAACCTCAACAGATCGTTAAGATGATGACGAAAAGAGAGAGAGAGATGTTAGGAATTGTGAAATTCTAGTGTGCTTTTGGGTGGTGTAAATGATCTATTTCTCTTATGACTTAGATATAAAGCTACATGTTAATACTTGCATGTTATTATGCCACTATTCTTTTGGTTGTGGGTTCCTTGGTGAAGATTTAAGAAGTCACTCTCTTAGTAAATCTCCTATTAGCATTCTCAAAATCATTGTTATATCTTTTTTGCTTAGATTGAAGCCATCTTCTCAAGCCTTCGGCTTCTTTTACCAGGTTAAATATGTTTCGGGTTTCGTGCGGACTACTAATTTGTTAATTCCGTACATAGATTTATATAGATATGGTTGCATCTTCATTATTATGTCTTTGACAGAAGGAAATGTTAGTTTTAGGCCAAGTTGATTTTTTCATTCAAACACTTTCTGAAATCAGGTAATGAATGATATGCATTCTGTTGAACTTGAACTTGAACTTGGAACTTTCTGCTGCTCCGGCTGTGGTTGCTTTCTTCCGAGTGCCCCTCTCTTCTGTTAGTGTAACGCTCCTATTTTTTGGATGCGTTATTTGATAAATCGATCATAATATATTATAAACATATTTCCAAATATAGAGATAGAGTTTTAATTTCATCAAAATTAAATAATAATAGTCTCCAAAATTTATAAATAGATGTCTTCAAATTGTGTATTACAATAATAAAATTAAGGGAAAATTTTATCCACATTTTTTCTAGTTAGGTCTAAATTTAGTAACACTTTTTATTGATTTTGAAATTTCATTGCACTTTCTTCTGGTTTATACTTTCAAATTAAAAGTATCTCCAATAATTTTTAATTATGTCAGTATAAATAGTAACACTATGCCTTTAAATTTTTTGAAAATGTCAAAATTATCATTTTTTTTATGTAAGTATACTAAAATATCTTCAACTCTTTCCTATTATACATACCACACCTTTTGTCGTTTGTGAAGGTCCAAAATGATATGAGGTTGCTGAAAGACATAGGGGATTGAAGCCAGCTATTATTTTTCAGCTCGTTCTCTACAGTGATCGATCATTACTTAAGTTAGTAAAAAAAATATATATAGTTTTTTTTTTGCAAATTTGTAATTTTTTTCATGCCAATTTTTTTAAAATTTTTTTAATCCAAAACACTTGTAAAACTTTTAAGTCACTAAGTCTACTTTCTTATAAATTGTAGGGTAAGATGTGCATTTTTTGATTTCTTATTTTCTTATATTACCTAAGTTCCCCCTGTTGTCTGTTGCATGTAATTTTTTAAAAAATATACAACAGAGGGAACTTAGGTAATATAAGAAAATAAGAAACCGAAAAGTGCATCTCTTATCCAATAATTTATAATAAAATGGACTTAGTGACTTTAAATTAAATTTGAGTAAAAAAGTCTAAAATACTTTCTTCAATCCTTGACTCAAATTTATATCAAATTAAGGAAAATTCATTTTTTTACTCAAATCAAGAGAGAATTCAAATTTTTAATGGTGAGATTTTACTATCTTTTAAAGATTCAATGATCATCTTTACTCTCTTTTAAATTTGGGTTTATTCTTATTTTAAATTTGGATATCTCCTTCTTTAAATTTGAGTTTGCTCATTGGATCCATTTGTATCAAATCAAACTTTTTATTCAAATGTTAATTTAAATTTGAATTTTGAGTCATAATTGAAGATGTTCTTGCTCTCGTTTGAGTGACTTATATGTATTTTTGTTTGTGAGCAACTATTGAATATAATTTACTGATATAATTTGTTAATTCACCGTGACATTTGAATTGATTGTAAACTCTATTAAACATTAAAATTTGATGTTGATTCAATAATTCCTATAAAATTATATTATTATATCAATAAATTATATTAATTTTTTAAATCTAAATAGCATTACTATTTTGTTTTTGCGCATTAATTACATGCAAGTAGGAAACTGTGGACAGCTGAGTGTAATTTGAGCAGCAAAAGTCAATTCATTGCCTGATTTCCTCCAAATGGTCCACGTTTCGCACAGCATAAAGAAGAAAAACAAGATCAATGATGGTTTAAAACTAGTCATCAATGGCCAAATCTGAGCTTTAGAACTAATAAATCTGAACTTAAAAAGATAAAGAAAGCGGCTCTCAGAACAGAAAATCCGAACGACTTACACACCTATATGTCAAAATATTTCATGGGTTGATTTGAAAAATCAAAGAACAATGGGAGTACGTAGTAGATGCAAATCAAGCCTCTCTTTGAATTAGCAGGGATTGCTTTCAGGTGAATCGAAGAGCTGAGGGTCGAGCTTGACCCTACAAACAGGACAAACCGGATTCTTAGAGAGCCATGTATCGGCGCATTGTAGATGATAGCCGTGGTTGCAACTGGGAATAAGTCTTGTTGGCTGGTCGCTCTCGATCTCGTCCAAACACACCGCACACTCCGTAAACATAACCAAATCTTTTCCGGTCATTTTGGGCAGTTTCTCAAGTTCAGACGTCGATAGGCCTTTTTCTTTTGCAGGATTCTCCGGCAACCGAAAATCCGAGATGTTGTAGTTTCTTGCAGCGTACCATAATATGCATATGTAGACGAGGAACACCAAGCCCATTCCGGCGCATGGTAGAAAAAGGGCAAGAAGCACAGACACAAGCATTTTGTTGGTGGTAATCTCGCATTGATCAACAGACAAACAGCCTACGGGGTCGGATGGGAACTGGAAGGAGTAATAGAGGATGGGGTGTAATGCACACCATGGCGCATGGTTAGGTTTCTGCGAAAGTTGGGGGAATATATATGGGGGGCGTTTGGTTGGATGGGATGTACTAGGGTCTGAGGGTACGTGAGCTAAAAAGGAGTTGGTGGGTGAGGTGGTGGTGGCTCTTGTAGGAGGAGACGTGTAATTATTTGGGGGTGGTAAACGGCTATATCGGGAAGGCAACAAAACAGTGTGTTTTTGGTTTTTGCAGCTTTGGGAAGATGACGCATTTTGTGAGAATGCCAAGAAAGGGTAGACTAGAGAAACGGCATTAATGCGTTACTCAGGTCCTTCATTCCTTACGTAGCTGCAGCGTCAATGGCTAGTTGTTGTTCACCGCATAAATAGGGCAAGAGGTATTATTATTATTGTTTTAATAATTAAGAATATTCGGATAATTTACGTATTTTAATTAATTTTTTCTTGATTTGATCAAAAATAAATTACTTACGTTAAAATTAAAATATTTATGATCGACTGCCAAGAGAATGTCAAAATTTAAATTTAAAATATATGTATTTATAATTCATTTCTAATACCACGCTGCTTGGGCTTTCCAGATCCGCTAGCGATCATAAAGCACTGCTGTGTGTACTAATATGGAAGCTCTGTGGGCTGTGTCCTGTGGGTGGCTTTGATGGGATTTAAAAGGGTTTTTGGAACATTCCTGGTCGGGTGTAAGCCCATTGACGGAACTACCTTATGGGCAACCACACACAAAGCTTTTAGGTTTTTTAAAATCCTATATCCATCCTAAAGTTATAAAAAAAATAAAAAAATTATATAGATTACGTAATTCAATTAATGTAATAAAAAATCCCAGTAGCCTTCGATAACAAATTGGAGATATTAATCACTTGAATTAGGTTTCTCCTTGAGACAAATGCTTGTATGAGTCTGTGACTAAAAGGAAAAATGAAAGAAAGTTATTTGGTTTACATGAATGACATATATTATAATAATTTATTGTCAATTAATATTATGACAGTATCACAAGAAAATAATATGTACGATTGTTGATCTCAAAAGTTGCATCACAGGTGTGGAAGATGACCTGACAATTGGTGGGGAGTTTCAACAAAAGAAGTTGAAAACAAAAGAATTTCAGTAGTCGACCCTCTGATGAGTAAAGTCAGAATCAGAATGACAAGGAAATTGTATATAGCTGGAAAAAACGACTTACCTGGTTCTTGACTAATATAACTCTTTTATAGGTGGGAAAAAATGTGCCATTGGAGGGTTCTTGGCTACTTTTTGAATAAGACGGTATAGAAAGTGGAACGTCCCTTTGTGTTTTCTTATGAGGGCTTCGTAACTGGTTTGAGCTAGTTTACGGGCGGTTGGTTGGATATTGAGCTCGGTATGGGAGAATGAGCAGCTAGGTCGTTGTTGGAGTTCTCCCATTAAAAGGCAGAGCTCACGTGCCAAGCTCGAGCGCATGTGCCAGACTTGTGACTAATTTAGCCTCACCAACGATAATATTTATTCGCATGCATTGCACTATGTAATGAATAAGGGAATTGATGATGCACAAAAAAATGTTTATGCATCACCTGTTAAGTATTAAATACAATAATAAATTATGAGAGTCAACACAAATAAACACAATTAAATGACAATGATGGATGAGTGTTTTATTACTAAAGGGGTGCAGAGAGAGTGCTTAAATGTGAGTGAGATGTGAGAAATACACCTTTGTATAGGTGAAGTTTATAATTTATAGGTGTCCCTTAATAGATTGATGCACCTTTCTCGTATCAGGTAAAGTAATTTGGTGGAGGTGACACCTTTCTTGTAACAGGCTATTAGTAATAGTTTGGTAGCCAATTTCATGGAGGTGGTGATATGTGTATCCCAAAGAGATTTCATTGTATGTTAGTTGTGGACTAAGTCTCTTGCCATAATGTGGTTGACCTGACTCTCTCAAGATGACACGATTGATCTGCCTTAACTTCTTCTATTTTTTGGTAGACTTAACCTATATGTTTGAGATGAGTCTGGTTTGTGATTCTAAGTTGTTCCTAATCTAAGTTAGGCTCATCAGTAATGAATGACATATATTTTAAGTATATTTAGTTGTGCTCACTATGTTATTTTTTGTTCTACCAATCAATATAGTCTCATACCTAAATAATTATGAATTTTTTAATATAATTTGGACACTTTATGAATACATCTACATAAATATTTTGACATGTCGAACTCAATTTTTAAGTTACAAAGATTGTAAAAATTAAGTTGGATAATTGAACGAGTGATCAATGATTAATAGTTTGATTGATTATATAAAGATGGACTATATCATCTTTTATTTAGTTTGCCTCATTTGTTATGAAGATATATAATTAACTTTTTTTTTGTATACGTTATATTTATCGACGTTTGATCATTTTGTATTTTATGAATTTGTAAGTATCAAATAAAATAGATAAAATTTAAATATTTTATTTTATTGATCGACAAAAAAATTAAAAATTTTAAAGTAAAATGTCCACCTTAGTCGAAATTTCTAGCTACGCTCCTTTGGTAGTTGGGGTGGTTTCAGGGACATGCTCAAGTATAATTCCAAAAACACCATGTAATCGAATTGATCAATTCCAAAATTATTTGATAATACTTTCTTAGCTCAAAAACTTATTTTATTTCGTTATTCACTTGCTTGTACTCTAACTAAAGCCATTTGTGTTATATTTCTACGAATTCTATCAAGTTGAGAGGAGGCCAATTCTAGCTTGCTGGACATCTTTTTATCCCAACTTGGAGGTGTGTCTTTCTTGGCATATCTCGGCCCTCTATATGGGTTAGCCCTCCACAGAAGAAAGAGTGTGCGTCTCTTATCACCTATATGGTATGTGGTATGTGTGTTTATAAGTGTTTCCTGGTGTCGCTTCTGTTAGAATTAGTGGTTAAGATTTGATCAAAAAAATCAAAATCTCTTAAAGGAAGTGTTCGGTATTAGATTGGAATCCCACACTTTAGGCCAGAGGCCTTTTCGTAATGGTAATCACGTAGGGGTGTCGGGGGACTGGGCTATCCTACATCGGATAGCTTCGGATGTGTGTGTATTTATAAGTCTTTCTTGACCCTGACTCTGTTAGAGTCGGTGGTTAGAATTTAATCAAAAAAATTTGGTATGAGTGAAAATATGATGAATGGAACATGATGGATGAAAAATATAAATTTTCTTTGTTTGATTCGAAGGGAAAGATGGAGGAAAAAACAATCCATGCCGCCCACCAGTTTTGATCCGTCCGTATTTGAGCGCAAAATGACAACAATGCTGGGCAAGTGAGGCAAATGATTTCCATATTTTTTTATGTAAAGGTTAATTACGATTTACTCCAAAGGAACTCATGTCTCAATAGATTATTCATATTGTATTATTAAGGGTATTTTTGATATTTTATTAATAATAATATTCAATTGTTTTTTTTTCATACCAAATAAAATAATAAAAAAATTATTCCTTCCATTTTTTCATTTTTCTTACCAAACACAAGATGAAAAACTTATTTTTTTTTTCAAGAATAAAAACTTATACCTCATATTTTTCTATCCATCTTACCAAACAGACCATTAAAAATCACTGGAAGTCATCTAATTAAGTCCATGACAATAATGTCTAATAAAACTAACAAGTAAAAACCTTGTGGGTCTGAACATCACATTCTTTTTTCTCGTGCACGTAAGTTGATACCCTGGTAGTCGAAACATGTAAATCATTGAATTCTTGTATATTTCTTCAACTATGTTATGCTATTTTTTATTTCCCTAGTATTTTGTGTCTCCTATTCCATTCTCTGTCTTGCTTCCAGTGGTCCAAAACGGAGAAAGCAAAAGAATGGTAAATCTCAAAGAATAGAATCATCTTGCTTCTTGGCTAGAGTTATGACTTCTTACTTAAATTGATATAGATCATTGAAGACTATCTAAACCTTAAAATAAAAAAATGTAAGCTGTTCTTTGAGTTATCACAGTTTTTAATTGATTTCTCTCTTTAATTAATGGGTCTCTATTGTGAAAGTAGTGTTAAGTGCTACCAAACAAAGTAAAATCTACAAAATCAAACTGATAACAACTGGTCCCATCTTAAAACTGGCTAGTATGCTAAACTACTAGTCAAAATCGAGTTCAAAAAAAATAAAAAACCAGTCAAAATTACATGTTATAATCTTCTACTAGTCAAAAGTTGATTTGTAGAATTATTAGAACAAAGTAATGTGACTAGGATTTGATGTATCAATTTTGTTCGCAAGTGGTAGAAAAAAAGGGGCAAATAGACAATACCACTTGAGCCAACTATTAGAGCGTCAACTCCCGGGTTCAAATCACACGAACCCCCTCCCGACGCCAGTTTTAAATAGTGGCAAAAAAAAAAAAAAAAAAACTTAGATGATACTTAGAATAATTTTCAAGTATGAGCTTAGGGGGGAGATTAGATAAGTAGGCCAGATCAAGAGGTCAACGAAGACACGCAGAGCTCAAAGGATTAGAGCTAGAGCTCCCTCTCAGACGTGGTGACAGCGAAAATGATAAGGGAATAACTGGACAACGACAGAAATATTACATGTGGCAGAGAGTTATATTCAAGGCACAAAATCCTTGATCAGTAAAATCTTTTCCTAAGATCAAGGAAAGTTCCTTGGATAAATGGCAAAAATCTCGATGCAGATCCCTTAGAACTAGAAACAGTCCTATAAATACTATGTAACGCCCCCAAGAGAAGGGAGAACCCTAATAACGTACAATTAGTCTTGTAAATCTTTCGGATGATCAATAGAGAAAAAAAAAGCAAGAGTCTCCATTAAAGAGTAGATTAACCGAACTTTCGAGCTGGTGAATCACTATATTTTCATTGTGTCAATCCCCTAATTTCCCCCTCCAATACCCATCATTGTTCTTTTAAGTCTTGCAGCCCAGATTCTAATAATCACACACTACTCATCGCACATGCTCAGTATCACAAAGTTGCATCACATTGATATACACCATCAAAACTAAATAAAATTATTAACTGTCCACAGATGTATCAAAAATAAAATAAAGCTCAATGGGTGGAAAAATAGAATCATTAGGGTTCCATCCATAGAATTTTCTAGTCCTCAAAAGTTTTCAAGTCATATTTTCTAATTTTTATTCAAAAAACAACTCTATTATTTATTTAATTATTTATCACACTATACATTAATTGTGTTACATGTTTAGATGGGAGGATGATACCAAAATTATTCAAAAAAATTATCCAACTCGTATAACATGTAAAATGAAAATT